GAGCGTAATACCTATTCAAGAAGCTTATCTTATAAATCCAATTGCGTTAGAACGCTTAACGATTATCTGTGAAATCGCGGAATGACAAACGAGTTTAGCCGATAAGATTTAACGGTGACCGTTAAATGATGCAAGTACGTATTGTAAAATGATTGAGATTGCTGAGCCGCGACTCATCGTTATTCGCGTTACGTCAGAAGATGATTACGTTAGCATTTTTCTTATTCGAGCTGCACGAAATTACACGAGCGAATATTCGAGAAATCAAAGATGGTATGATTTAATTAGGTATCGATTCACTTCCCGATTGCAGCAAACACCCGGGAGTCAAAGGTGGTTACGTGGGTTAGGTTTAACGAACTCTCCGCGGTCGATATCGGGAATTCGCCAACTTTGCAGAACTCGGAAGACTTGCCGTTTTCTACGATCGTGATTGCGATCGATGATAAATGTCGATGACGAATCATGAATCAGAATGATTCCGCGTATCGCGAGATTTTAACTCGTCATCGTTACAGACGTTTGTAATTGAAGTGGCTCGTTCAGAAAGAATTAAAGGTTGTAGAGGATAGAGAATTCTCAGGATACTTTAAAACTCATTTATTGAACATGACATAAAAATCACGATACATGATAATGATAAACCGAGTCTATTGTAAGCTTTCAAACTTTAGATATATTATTCATTTATTATCTTCGCTCGTAATATCCTTACTTGTCTTATATCAAACGCTAACGGATTCATTACCTTATAGTAGGTATAATTATATGGAATGTGCACCCATCATCTCGCTTTGATGATTTTTCGATTTTTGTTCGACGATGGCTGTAGTCGTTGATTAGAATTGTTTTTTAGATTTCAGACCGGAAAAGCGAGCGTTACGGGTTTGTTCGATAATGAAGCCGGTATAAACGGAAAGTAATAAATACGCAAAGGTAAAAATCGAAAGATAACGAGGGATGATAGGTTCGTGATGGCGGAGGACGCCGCGAAAAATGCGACGGTCCTCGAGTCTATCAACCATGTACACGCTACATTTTTATGTAATCCTGGGGGATTTTGGCAGTGACGTTCAATCGTCATGGATGAGGAGAAACGGCCTCGAGCGATCGTCTCTCGTGGCGAATTAAACAAAGAATTAGCCCGAAAAAGCGTTGGTTCAAACAATTTTAACAGAACGGTACAATAAATTTCTAGGTTACTTCAGGCCGTTTGAAACGTTCAGTCCTACTTCGAATTTCGTGCTTTTATACGGAACAAAAATATAATGTCTCTAGATGACTCGCAGCTTACGTCTCCTCAGCCACGCGCTAAAAATCAGCTCAAAATATCCCGAGTGAGGTATAACGAATAACCGTAAAATAGTTGCAATAGTAATACAAAAAATAGTTAAGTCGTCGAATAATAAATTATATAATATATTGTATATATAATATATGTGTATGTAAGTATGCGTCGTACGGCGTATCGACGTATGTAAATATACATAACGTATTATATATTCACATATGCCGATACGTATTCATATAGCTTTGTAATCGCGAACATTGTGACCGTAGAATGAAAGTGGATCGAGTTAAAAAAGACCGGTTTATAAAATACTTTTTAAGCCTATTACCGTATGCATCGAGGATAAATCGCGAATCTTTACCGACAAAAGCGTAGAACGCCACTAACGAAGCTAGAAAACCAGGAGTCCCAATCCACGTTTACTCCGCGGTCCGAGGCCGCCGTAATAAATAGATCGTATCATCTCGTCAATCTCTAAACTCTAGTAACACCACTGTTTCTAATCAGTACAAATTAACCGACGAAACAATGGAACCTCGTTCGCGAAAGAGTTCGCAATTCGCGTTCCAACGTTCCGTCCAGCACCACATTTTTTAACATCTGATCGGTAAATTCTATTGTTTTTTATTTTTCTGTTTCTCTAAAGCAGTCTTACATGAAACGGCAACTTTCGCGAATCAGTTCCCCACCTAGCATTCAGCTTTATCCTCTACTGCCAATTTTGCGCCCATCGCTACGGAATTTACTCAGTGAATTTTTGTGCAAAACTTAAACGATGTCCAATTTCGCTGAACGAAGAAGGAACTTCTCGCATCCGCTGCCAAAAACGCGCGTTGATTGACGGAGAATCGAAGCGTTCGTACGAGTTTTCGTCGTAACATCTCCTCAACAACATTTTCCTTTTTTATTTTCTTTTTTTTATACGATCGTTGCAAAATAATTCTACCTTATAGCTTACGGTATCACAGAGTTACACGCGGTATCGTTTAATTGCTCCCACTTCGTAATTTCGCGAAAACGATAAGGAGAAAACGCGTAATATTACTTTTCTTCTTCTTCTTTGAAAAACGGCAAAATGTGGACGCAGAAGATGTCGTCGGTGTATCGCTATTTTGCGCAAAATTTCTTTCACATACTTTTTAATACTGCCCAATCGAAAAGGAGTCGATAATCGTGCTGACGTTGCGGCTACGTTGCAATTAACAGAAAACAAACGATATACACGTCGTATCATTGAATGCTCGACGGAAAACAATAGAAGCGTAATCGATAAGACACGGTTGCGCGGAAACAACCACTCTTATTCTTTGGTCTTTGATAAAATTTCGTCGCGCTTTTAACAGAAGGATTCTTGAAATTACACGTATCTCTGTGATTTTTCATTCGATGCCTTCGAAAGACGTCGTTCTGCGTCCGAATTTCGAGGACACTCATCTTCGATTTCTCGGATTACTAGGATCGTGTTCGGCGTACAACGAATAACAGACTTGACCGCTTTATTTACGACGGAAGTAATATGTTATACTATGCAAGAATTTAACAAACGCTTCGTAACGACTAATCAAAACAGCAAAATCGAGTACCTCGGGCGCGGGACAGAGGAAAAGCGCTATACAATACACGCATCTCGATACACACTGCGAGGATCGTTTTAAGAAAATATCTCTTTCGCGGTTTAATATCGTCACCTCTATCCTAGAGTGTCGCGTGCGAATACGATCGCGTCGAAACGATACTCTATACAGTCATGCACCCACTTGCGTTTCTATTATATAAAACTGTTATGTATTTTTACGTTCCACTATATCTTATATATTGTACTTTACAGTCTGCAAGTTTGAAAGATTGGCAAATATTCCTAAATTTCGATTTCACGTTTCTGCTCCTCTATAAGGCTTCTATAACTAAAGAATGTTTACGTAGTAGAGTGTTTAATGTTCTCAATTTACGTCAGCCAGCAATTGGCGCGCAAGTGAAGCACAACTGTACGAATACCAGCAAAACAAGGAAAGATTGCGAGAAAACGAATTGCACTAGTTAATCGATGTTCCAAAGATTAGAGGAATTCCGAACACAATTGAAGTATCGTTTCGACGCGGTAATTGCTCGCGATCTTCCACTGGCGTGGATAACCGCGAGACGTAACAAAAGTTCGAAAATAAATACGTTCGCGTGTAAGTACAGCTAATCTCGCTCGAACGATACGCGATTAAAATAAGTCTTTCCTTAGGCGCCTCAGCTCTCATTTATATGCGAATATATATATATATATAGTATCGTAACCCCTGTTTCTCTATCTGATCGCAGATTTTCGCGCGCACGCACGCGTTTCCCTTCGAAGGCAGCAAGCGTAACGTTAACGACGAAAACGAGCGTTTCCGGTTGTCCATGTCACGGGGAAGTCCCTTCGACTTCGACGCGAGTTACGCCTCGTTTAGTCGCCGCCCGTTTCTTTCTCTCGGCCTGGCCTAATGTTTCAAAAACACATTCACCATGGTTATCGTGATTTATCGTAATGCTCGACGAGAGAATTCGAACGAAAGGGAACGGTTGTTAACGCGAAATACGAAAAGTCGGAAATCGAACGTGGACTCGATCACCCTCCAGCCTGCTAAGCCACGATCAATTTCCGCGTTCTGCGGGTAACAGAAGATTCGGTAAAAAGACTGGAAAGCAAAATGGTCGCGCGAGTCTTGAAGATTCTATGCGCGCGATAATGTACAACGAAGGAACTAAGCTTTTTCAGGTCTGGACATTGAGATCTTGTGTGGTCACGAACCTTGCGCGGTTGGAACGCGTACGCGCTGTTATCGACAACGACGAAATTCCCGTCGCGATTATGTACCTCTCTCTCCAGGATTCCTCCTCCGGTTCTTCGTCTCTCAGCTGGTCGGTCGGTGCTCGTTAAAGAGCCTCCTTCCGCGACTCGTTCCTTCGTTGCCGGTCTTCTCCTTTTTCTCTCTCTCACTTTTTCTCCTCCTTAATTATTTTTCTTTTCACCTAAACAGATTCTCACAGTTATCAGGAAGAAATCGCAGCTTAGCGCTGGTTTGGAAAGGAAAGCCGCGAGGTGTTCGTCGATTTGGCCGAATGGTTTTCTTTAGCTTCTCCTGTTGCGTTCTGAAAATGAAACGCGATCTTCCGATGTTTATGGACGTCTTCGTGAGCAACGATCCAACGGGAAAAGGGAGGGAAGTAAAGGACTTGAATTTTGTTTAAATTCGCGAGGTGTCTGCATCGGAGGAGAAACGTAGAAGAGAGCGTAGTAACCTACTGGGTACCAGATAATTCGGCTACTGCAGCGATGGTCACCGATCGTCTCCAACTCTCTTTCCGAGCGTCGGCCTTGGAAAAATCTCGCTCGTGATCCTCGTTTCTTCAACGACGACCGTTCTAGGATCTTATCGAACGATCGTGACTCCCGTCGTTGTCGATTCTCACGTTCTTTTCACGATCGTTTCTCGCTCGTTGTCGTCGTTGCCGCGAACGAAACACGTCGCTTAACCCTGTTCCGTTCGCATCGTTTCTCGTTTGCACTCCTGCTCCTCGTCCTGTTGCCGCCGTTGTCGTTGCTGCTGTCGGTCAGGTTTACCATGCCGAGGGCGACGGATCCGGGCAGGATCGTGCCACCGCGTCGTTGATCGTCGCGGGCGTGGTAACGGGTGCGGAGGTGCGTCGGATTTCGATCGGTTTCGAGCCGGGAATCGGTGGNGCCGGGAATCGGTGGCCGGCCCAAAACCCCTTGGCTGTTTCACGACAAATTTCGCTGATCTTCCGCGCTGTCGTCAGCCTTCTTCAGAGACTTCTTCAGCTTGTCGACCAGTCGGTTGTGGAACTTGTTCAAGGAGTTGGAGCTGCCGGTTTTCGGCGGGGACGAGCC